ATTATGATTATGACCAAGGTCAGGCTCCCAGAAATTCGCCTGACCAACGTTATAGTTTTAACTCAATGGAGCTAGGTGATTGGCCAGAAGTTTCACGTGGAGGCATTGTTTCTGACATTTTGGTCAGGCTGTTTCAGAATGGCCTGACCAATTGTTAAGGAAACAATATGTTCGAGGGTAATAATTCTTGTCACTGTCTTAAGTTGATGTGTGGAAATATCAACTTAAACCGTGTGAATAGTATGTTGTTGACTAATGAATCATCACAAACAAAAGGTATCCTTTGTGTACTACTGTACTTGTTGAGAGGCAGGGGGGGGGGGAAGAGTAATGAAAATAAGAAAATTATTTCTGTGTGATTTTCTTGCTTTATTTTAAAAAAATTAAAAATTCCTTCTAAGCTAAATGAATAAATTACTGTACTAGCCAATAATCAGAAACCCAGTCATTCTGTAAATTCTACATACTTTTGGTTGACTTTTGACATTACCATATGAAAATGAAATTTTCTGCAGAGTTCTTTGACCATTGCTTACTGCTGGTAGCTCACAAAATGAACTAAATTTGTTGGAAAATTGTTCCAATTCCCTTGTTCCACCAGTGAAAATTGTTCCACCATGAATAAATTTTCACAAATTAAAAGTAGGCGTCTTATTATTGGGCGTGGTCAAAAAGGGCGTGGCATATTGTATCTGAGCCTGACCGTCCCACCAAACCTGGCTTCGCCACTGTATATGAATTTTCAAAATGTAACTCCTATGCTTTCATGTCTGCCAGAACCAGCAAAGTGTCTTCCTATTTTGCTAAAGTTTATTTGTAATTATAAAAATACTCAAATCATGCTAGGAAGATTGAATTCAAAGTTTTAAAAGCCAATTTTCTGAGATTGGGCCACTTTATAGAAAAAGGAGCAGTAAATCCTGAGGATAGGCAATTTTTCCCGAAAGGGATAGCTTTAAAAATTAAAGCTTGTTCAGGCTCTCTGCCTGGTATTCGTTTTCCTAACATGTCAACACAAAGAATGCAAAAATGAAAGTCTCCACGCTGGCTAGGTTTGGGCTACCTTTAAAACAGGGAAAACGAAATCTGCAATCCTTAATCCTATTTTTAGAGAGGGAAATATTTGATGATGAAATGACAGCAAAACTTACTGTGAGTGAAATTAATATTTTATGCAAAACGGAACGTGAAGTCAGAGTTAGTTATGCTTACGTTGAAAATAGACGTTGCAAATAGACTATAGTTTCAAATTGCAAAAAGGCGAAGAAATATTGAGAGAATACATGGAACACTCTTGCAATGGAAATAAAAATTAGAACATTCAGACAGTCATCGCCCAAGTTGCTACATTTTCTGACACGTGAATTTTGACACGATGGCTGAGCCCACTGAGGTCCCACAAGACTGTCTCTATCCAAGCAAAATTGAAGATTATGAAATAGGCAATAACTGTCTCAATGTTCTAATTTAACCAACTACTATAGGCCCGGTGAACATAAAGCAAAGCTCTCGCGACTAAGTTTCGAGTCTTGTTCAGAAAGGTAGGGGATTCCCTGTAAATCAGCAATGATTGCTGGGATGGGGGGGGGGGTAAGGTCAATAATAATTCTTATTTTTCTCAAAAACGCCGAACTCTTCATATTCAAAGGAACAAAAACGCTCTACGTGTGCAATTGGTAACATAATTTCTTGTTAAAAATTAATGAAATTCTAGCTTTTATCGTTCCGCCACCAAGAGGTTTTTATGAGTTTTATTAAAATCTAGATCTTTTGAGCATATTTGAGACTTTAATCATCGACCGTCGAGCAACAGCGGCAAGTCGCGATTTGTGCACGGCCTAAGCGATTCATTGTTAAACTCACTTATCTCGAATAATAGCTAACAAATTGATATAAGGCTCTGGGCGCACTGATTTCTGACATAAAACTCATTATCTTTGTCAAAGTGGAAAATCGAGAATGCTTTTTCAAGTTTGACAAAGATAATCCGATTTCCGCTTGAGAATTCAGGCGGAGTGCAGTTCGTGTGTGAAATGGTTGTTTGCTGTTACTGGGATTACACTGTTATTTTCCCTAACAAACTCCTTACAAATTCTGTAGGTATAACGAACCCAGGATATAACGAACTCTCGATATTACGAACCTCATTTTGAGTCCCTTCATCATACTTACCCTCAATATAACGAACTTTTTGTAAATTTTTCGTTTATTACTTTCTCTTTGGTGAAATCGTTATCGACAAAAGATACACTCTTCTTTTATAAGTACAATTTTTTAAGAACACGAGCCTCAAAATTATTCAAAAGTTAAGAACAAATTAAGAACAAGCTGAGGCTGAGCTACTGTAAAATACAATTTTGGACAACCTTTTTATCTCGTAAACGAGGATTTTTAGCCATTTTTGGGTTCTTTTTCGGTGAATATTCAAACCTGACAGCAAACGAAGGTTGTCTCACTCACTTTGTTGGCAAATGAGGCATAAACTGCAATCTAACATGTTTTTTAAAAAAAATATGAAATATTTTGAACGTGCCATGTTCAAATTCGCAAGAACGTACTGGTTAGCCAGTGAGTTACTTCTGTATATTCTGACAAAATATTGAATTTGAAGACGTTCGTTATTGTAATTTTGCCAAACATGTTCTAAGTAAACTAAAAGTTTTAATTCGTAGCTGCTATAATGAATCTTTGTTATCTGTGCTTTTTTTATTATTTAGTGTTGATAATGAGCCATTTGTTTTTGTTATTAACATTAATTTTTCATTCTGGATTATTTTCGAAACAAATGAATCGCGAATGACAAGAAATAATGGTTTCTTAGCATTTAATTGCCTTTTAATACCAAAACTTATAGTTTTAAGCGCAAAATCGTATGGCAGAACACCGTAGCTGCTTGACAGCTATGCATTAATAATATTGAATCCAACTTGTTTGTTTTGAGTAAAATATGCACAGAAGTTGGGGATAGCCCAAACAAGCCCAGGGAAGGGTTTTTAGACATTTACTGCGAAAAGAACTGAACAAAATTCAAGGTAGTATTTTTTCATAAGCTTGGTAATATTTTCTTAATTTGAAGACTATAGTGTCCTAAGAAGGGTAGAAAGACCAAGAAAGGCTGTTTATTACTGTAAAGATAAGAGGATTTAGTAACAGGTTTAAATTTTTTGTCAAAAAGGACCCTAATTATCCTATCAACCAAGGATTTACGAAAACAGTTATCACTAAAGCCTGATTTACACGAGACGAATTTTTTCGTGCGAAGCGAATTTTTCGCCGCGAATGCGCGCGAAAGTAGTGATTAGAAAATTCACAGCAAAAAATTCGCTGCGAAAAAGTAGAAACCATTCCTACTTTTTTGCTGCGAAATTTTTCGCCACGTAAAATAAACCAATCAGAACAGCTTTGGAAGACACCTGACTTCTGTTTTGGTTTCAGATGGCCTTAGTCTTTCCGCATTCTTTTTCTCAAACACCCTCGCCTTTAAAACGTCAATAAAATAGGTTGATAATTATTCATTCCCTGTTCCTTGTACACAATCCATGTATGTGGATTCATATCAGATTAATATTCAAACATTTGAAGTTCAAATTGACGAAAACTGGCTTGAAAGTTTCATCAAGCTTCGATGGCGACCTTTGAAAGTATTTGAAGAAGTTATCCTGGTCTTATAAATGTAAACGTAAATCTCTCTTACCGAAAGATGGAATTCCCCCTTCTGAAGACGTCCTGAATAATTTTTCGAATCCAGTATCGCTTTTTGCTGTTTTGCTCGCTTTTTGATAAATTTAAAATTTAAAGCTTTCTGATAAGAGCACTCTTCGGACAGTCGCTATATTCTTTTGTAATACTCGCAGCGAATTCGCATAAAAATTTCTGCCAGTGTAAATTGAACTTCGAATTCGAGAGAAAAATTCGCAGCTAAAAAATTCGTGGCGAAAAATTCGCTTCGCGCGAAAAATTCGCCTCGTGTAAATCAGGCTTAAGGACAGAGTTCATTATGGAAATTTTCATACAAAGAGCAAATATTAAAAGCACGGTAGACAAGTACACTAAGAGGATTAAATTTGTATTTAATAGGAGACAAACTGGCAAAATCAGTGTAAAATCCAGGAAATTTTTCTTTGCGGTAGAGATTAGTAGAAAACAGATTAACATTTTTGAATATCAAGACATCAAGAAATGGCAATGAATTATCATTTTTAACTACAACTGTGAAGTTGATATTGGGGTGAAATTTGTCGATATGTTGAAGAAAAAGCCTAATATTTAAGGTTTTCAAATAAGCAGAGAGTATCATTCAAATAACGTCGATAAAAGACAGGTCTGAATTCCGAGTGGCATTCATCTAAAAACGGGCTTTTAGAACACAAATAAATATATTGGCTAGGATGGGACCAAGGGGAGAGCCCGTAGCGACACCATCTATTTGAGCATTAAAAATAAAGTGGTTGTTTTTAATAGCAGAGCGAAGTAGTTTACGGAAATTGTCACGGTCGAATTTGAGGTCTAGATAGTGGAGTCAAGGTTATCAAAAATACATTTTACACAGAGTTCAATGCATTCATCCAGGGGAATATTAGTAAATAAGCTAGAGATATCGAATGTGGTCACATCAGTGCGCGGTTAGGAAAGAGTGTGATTTCATCAATAAAAGAGAAAGGATCTTTAGCAGTGCGTTGATTAGTAGTATGCAGTTGAAGGGTAGGAACAAGAAAATTTAGCAAGATTGTAGTTGTATGTTCCAATTGCAGAGAGAATAGGTCTAGCAGCACAGTCAGTTTTATGAACTTTTGGTAGTCCGTAAAAGATTCCAGGGGTGCTACCAGAAAGAAATAGTTGTTGATATATTTTATCAATGTTTTCCACTGATTTGTTTTCAAAATCCTGTGTTTTCAATGCATTGCTCGCTTTCACGCCGGTAGGGCAAGGACACATACCGAAGATATGTCATTTAACTTTAACTTAAACTCGTTAACCGAATGATTTTTTTCCTCGTTTAGTGCCGAAAAAGAGGTTAAGGAGCTGCGAGATAAATTTATAAGAGGCAAGAGCCCTGATCTGGTATGTTTTCTTCAAATATCTAGCAGATTTTTAAGGCTGCTACCGGGCATGGTTTAGGCCTCTATGCTTTGAACGTTCTGAACATAGACTTAGGAACCAGGGGTACAAGGGACACGTACCCCTCCCAACTTTTCAGAATTAGTGGAAAAGCACCTATTAGTAGAGGTTTATTACAACACGGGAGGTTCCTATTTTTGTCTTCTTGTGTTTGACCTGTCTGTCCTTTGACCCGTTAGCCCGGTTTTGCAACCTATATCATTGCCTGGTGACCTCTTTTCGCTAAGCTGACCTCTTTTCTTATTTAATCGCTAAAGAATTTTAGTTGTTAATGTTAATTTATTAGTTAAATTTTCATTAAGTAAATTCAAGTCTTGGGTTCTCCACTTCGAATAGAGATTTACATTTTCTTGTATATTATTTCTTAAAAGAATTTTATAAATTCAGTCAAGCCTCAATATTCTGAACCAATTTTCGTTTTCAAGCCTGTTTAGTTTTAAGAAAACTGTTTCATGATTGTATTGTAACTGTTACTTTATATTTTGATCACATCTTAGAGCAAATACAGAGACATCCACGTTATTTGCGGCACCCTGAAGGACTTTCTTCGAAGTTTGACCGAACCCCTTGTTACCTTCGCTTTGCACGAGGCCTTCAGTGATGCTGCCAGTACGTGATTTCAGTATTTTAACCTTTCCTTTAATTAATCATCCCCTTTACCCCTTATCGAAGCTCACTTACAATCGCAGCTTATGGGCAAAAATCTGTTCTATGATCGTATAAAGTTTGATCATATAACCTAAGAGCATCATTTAATATCTCTAATTGTGCAAAATCGGTTGAATGTAAAATGTATTGGCTGAGATATGGCCTCATGACCACAGGCTCATTCCCCAACTAATCACTGTAATTTGGTGTCTCTGTACATAACTTCATAAACTAAGCGAAAATAGCAGTAATCTGCTCGCAAACGTCAAACCTTTCATTGGCCGCACCTCATCCAATTTTTAACAAATTCAATTGATTTTCGTATTTAGAGATATTTAATAGGGTGGTCAAAAGTTAACAATTCTAAACATGTTTTTTATGACTTTCTTAAAACCCTTATTACTTTATGATTAGGGATATATTCCCTTTATCGGCTATTCTAACTCGCTCTTGGCAATGATCAATAAAATTTGCAAATTTCTTACCAATACACACCCGCACAGCGACCTCGATGCTATGAGAAGGCTAGAGAGTTTGCCGGGTCACCTTCGATCAGGATCTCAAATGTCTGTATTCGTTGTGCCAATACGCCACCCCTTTACTTTTTCATTCACCACATAATGAATTTTTTGTATTTAGCGCAAAAAAGACCAACGAATCTACGCGATAGGGTTAAATTTCGGAGGCCAATATTTTGAATATAGAAGCCTAGATGTAGATCAAAATTGACATAGCTCTATTTCTGACAAATATCAATATACGAATCAAATGTCAAGAAAATCTAAGAGTTTCAGGCTCTGCCCCTATGTTGATTTCATTTGGCATGACCTCATGAGATTTTTTTGCAGTTTGTCATAGCAATGGAAGATTTATTTTATCAGTTGTTATTTGGTTAGAGTTAAGTCTGGGTCGTGACTCGCTTCCTGTGTCTTGCTTGATGTTTTATTTGATTTCAGCCTCGTCTGACGTCAGCGACAGTGCAATGTTCCAGTGTGTAAGTGAGCTCCCTCCTGCAAACAGGGATACATTGGCCTATCTTATGGTTCACCTCCAGAAAGTTGCCCAATCACCAGCCTGCCAGATGCCGATAACAAATTTGGCTAAAGTGCTTGGACCGACCATCGTTGGTCATCGCTCATGTAATCCGACCCATCTTGAGATGTTTGAAGACCTTAAAGTACAGCCAAAAGTAAGTCACTTTATATTGTACGTCAATCGATTTTTTACCGCCGCGGATTTTTACTTTTTATGCCGCTGAATGTGACATTTATAGACAGCTAGTACAGCAGTGAACAATCAACAATCAACTTCACAGAAATCGATATGCATATAAATGCAGTGGCGCGCAGTTCTTCTTGTAGTTTTAAACTTGATTTTGACTAGCTTGCTAGCAAGACACTGCACTAGAAGGCAGATTAACATCGAAAAATGTTCAAGAATTTTCATTTATACAAATGTTTCACAGAAATAAAGTTACGTCTTTTATTACTTTTTCTAACCCCAATAAAGCAACTTGATACCCCCGCTTTCTCTTTGGCCTCTCCTCATTTTCTCTTGTTGGGCTTTTGCTATAGGCCTCCGGATCGTTCCTACAAAAAAAGGACAATCGCCCCACAACTAGCACAGGACTGACGTATTTGCTCCACATATGTGGACATTTGAAATACAGTCCTGAGTTCACATGTAGTGGCGGTTTTGTACTGATACCTGGGTTGAATTTTCCTAAGCCTTCCCCTCCCCCATCCAAAGAAAACCTCTTTGATATTCGCGTTTAGCAAACTAAGTGTCTTTGCTTTTAAGGTTGTCGAGCGCCTGATTTCATTGCCCACGGATTACTGGAACCAGTTTCTGTTGCCAAAGGGTAGCAGACAGATACCCTACAATCCAGGAACTCATCACCCTGATGGGACACCACTTACCCCAGACATTATGCCAGGTTTGTATCTAGTCATATTTATGTTTCAATGCCATTGATAGTTATCCATTGACATTTACAACGTGCCTAAAACTCAACATGCACAAATATAAAATCCACCATCTATCATTTCGCTCTACTTTTTCTTACATTAAATTTCTTCCAGTCTCTACCTTTCTTACATATTCTCCGATGTATCTTTTAAAAGCAAAATAAAAGGTTGTTACTTAGCAGTAGAGGCCATCCTGCTTCTAGGCCAGTTTATTCCAAATGTAGGAATCTTGCTAAAGCGACTCTTTATATTGTTCAGTCACTGATTGATTAACAAAGCATAATGAATTAGTGCTCAATGCATGGTCATCTAAAAGTGAACATTATCGTGTCATTTACTGTAGAATTGGCTGCCCAAAGTTTGCATAGAGTATATGATGACCACATAAGACCTTTTTTACCTGATCTGAGTCCCTTCACTGAGGTGGGGCAACATTTTTAAGGGAAGATCTCTATAAGGTTGGAGGCTAAATCAATGTGCTATTTGTTTTGGTCTCGATGGCTCGATTCCAATCTAAGGGACCATTTTTTCTCGAATCTGGTCTGCAGTGTGTGCAACCTTGATTGCAAAGGTTAATGAGAACATATTCAGAACAATATAATTTAACGATATTTTTCATCAGACAGAGTTCCCATCACATTAAAAATCTTGTGGCCGATGCCCCAGTCAGTGTATTGATCATTAGATAAACTACAACTTGCAAACTCTTCAATATTTATTTAACCAACGCATTGTCGTGACGTACGTGCTCTATCGTTTTACCATTAGCTCCCGAAAGCATGCTTGGTCCAGTCGAAAGTGGGTTAGCTAGTGTGAAAAGAAAGGGTGGAAGGACTCCATACACGCCAAAGTAAGTTTTTACTTGTTTTCTACTTGAATGGTAAGGAAATAGCCAACCAGACTTGGTTGTTTGATGCGCGACGTATGCATTCGTTTAGGATGCTCCCATTTTCAAGAAGCTGTTGTTAAACGAAAACCATTGCAATTTTCCCCCATGAAATCATTTACCCTGTTTTTATACAATGCTATTCTTGTCTCTTGGAATCGATTTCATTGGCTATAACAAATCGATTTATCAGTGCTGCCTTTTAAAGCCATACAAAGATGTTGCCATTAATGTTCTTTCAGTTTTAAGGGACTTTCAAAGCCTTTGTGTCCTATTTGTCCTTTTTTGGAAAAAATAGCTACTAAATACAGTCTTGTAAATTCTAATAGATGCTTTTTAAATAATTCCGGAGCAGTTCTTGTAGTTTATGTGAGGTTTCGATAATGATTGTTAGTTAACTGGGGTGAAGGTTCGTTGATTTATTGGAAGAAGGAAAGCTAGATGATTCTTGTCCCATCTCTTTTTAGTGATTTTTAGAGAAGCAGTCTTATAACCTACCTGATAGTATGACGAACGTAGACCTGCCATTTGCTTTGATGTTTAGAGCATAGAACGACAATTCTAAGTTGCTTACCAAAAATTCCTGTCCACTCGGATAGTAACTATGAAACTTCCTGTTTTATACAATAAAGTGCACAGGAACTCTTTCTATACGGCATCGAAGACCATGCAACAGTCATTTGTGACGACATCCATATCTAACTATTTCGAGTTTCTCTTAAAAACTTTTTACTTCAATGTCCATTTGGCTATGGTTTTAAAAATGAGTTCGTGCCTGGCTAGCTGCGAAAAACAAGTCAATTAATCTCAACCATATTCTTACACAACTTGCTCGACCACTTTTCGGCTGAACGACGGCGTCTTCAATTTAAAAATCCGTGACAATAAGATATGTTTTCATTTGATCATAGGTAGGTGTTAATTCAAACTTAACTTGCTCTTAATGTTGTTCTTTTTTGTCACAGGTACGCCCCTAAGGGGAAAGAGCCTTCCAAAAGACCAAAATTGTTTGAGTCGCCACATGCATGAGATTTCGTACTAGATGCAACTGGATGAAATTTCTTCGTTTACGTCACTATCGAAATTTTTGTAGTAGCATAGGGCAAAAAACCTGCGTTATGCAATACAGCCGTAGTCTACAATCAAATCTAACATTTCAAAAGAAACTCTGGTATATTTATAATTTGACTAAGAAGAGTTTATAATGAGCAATTGATAGGCATTTGTACTGCCATAGAGATGCAGTACCTGTAGCCCTCTAGAGCACAAGGCTAGATCATTCTCATGGTGTTAATGACCTTGCTCCTTTTGGTAAAAAAATTACAAGAGGAATCTTACAGCTGTCCAACCATGTGATAAAAGAGTCCTATAATGCAATTCGGCAACCAATTGACAAATCTATGTTATTTGCAGTTTTAGTTAAAAACAGGTTGAGAACCTTGAAGATTAGAGAGAGTGTGCATAATTCCAATATTCGCTGATTTCACACTGAAAGTCGTTAATTAATCGAATAACGCAAGCACATTGGAGGATTTTCAGATGTTTTATTAGAACTTTTCCCTTGGATATCTGGTGTTTTCTTAATGTCATTTCCCACACGTAAATTCATAAGCAACTGATTTCAGCCCACAGGTCTTTTCAATTTAAACAACTCGAGTATTTTTCGTCAATAGAGCTTTTTTACATGATTAATCGTCTCGCTTTTTTCTTCCGTTCTCGTGCCCATTTTTCTTGACATCACTTTGTTGTACATTTTAATCGAAAAAAATGCAAACTGTTCTTTAAAGCATTATTTTGTAGTATGAATTTTCGTATCACTTTGTTTGCAAACTTTTAGTTTGTGGTCTGCATTTTGTAATCATAATTTAAGTTCTCATAATCCACCAAATTTTGTTTATCTCGATCTTTTTCCTTCAATGACATCAGAATGCTACTTTTGGCCATAATATGAATAAGAAAATACTCCCCTCCTTTGTTTCATATACATGTGAAACGATTAACATCAGTCTTTGAAATTTTGACCGAAGAGGAGAATGAAAAAAAGCTAATGTCAAAGATGAAAAAGAAAATGTTACTCAAACACCCTTTTTCGACCCCAAATGTAACTGTGAATTCAGATTACTCTAAATCATGATATCATAATGTCGAAACACTATTGGCATCGGTCGTATTTTGACAGATACCAGAATCCAAATTTTTTCTTTATCATCGAATACTACATTATTCTATTCCCTTTTCACTAGAGTCTATTTTCATAAAAACGTGGCTTTCAAGTCTTGTCTCGAGAGCATTTATTTATTACCACCATTGTTAGATCCGGTGCTAATTACTCATTAACTCGTATTTCAACAAGGAAAATCTAACAGGTATTTTCTATTTAACATTTGAAGACGAAAGGGGAAAATGGTAATCGCTAGATAAATATCAAAACACAAAGTAAATGCTCAAGCATATTTATTTGCTGTGCTTCGGGAAGGGTGCTAATTTTTCTATGTTCCATCTGAACATGTTAATAATGTCTTGTTTGTAATGGGATATAAAAACGTCTTAACACCAAGAAAGAAAAATTTATTTTGAAGAATTCAAGAATAAACATGTTTTGGCTGAAAACTAATGAATGTGCCTATCTCTTGGCAGTGGTGCAGAACTAAGGTGAGCCACTCGTGTCTAACCTGAAACATCCGTTTTTATAAGATAAATTTTATAGAAACAGGAGCCTCAAAATCGTCTAAAGTTGAGAACAAGCCGAGGCTCAAGTAATGTTAAAGTAATTTTGAACAACTTTTTGTTACCCCTTAAAAAATCCCATCTCAAAAACAAAGAGTTTTTTGCCAACTTTGGGTACTTTGTCGTCATGGTGGATGCTGCTGGCATTCATCATAATGACCTTTGCATAGATTGAACAAGCTTTCAACTGATGAAGCCACAGCAGTATGACGTCAATACTGAAGATGGAGATCTCCCTATTTCTAAACACAGTTGGCCGCATGCAGGCTTCTCTTTTTAGTTAAGGAAAGCTTTCATACTTGAGAGCTTTCTTCTTAATACAGAAACCGTATAATATTTTCATAGACTCAGCATGCTTTTAATGTTATAGCTACCTATTTTGTTTTTCATTTCCAGTAACTCGCGTGGTCGTTTTGTGTCCCATTACGTCAACGATTTTTATTTTAAATGCAAATCCAGAGCCGTACATCTGTCATGTCAATTGAGGGGGGGGGGAGGGTCAGCAGAGCAAAAGAATATAAAGTGTGCAGTGGGTCATGGCACCACAAAGCAATTTATGATAGGTGTTATGGACAGAGTTGAGGGGCAAACGCCTTAGAAACCAATGATCGATATCTTTTATTTTCTAGGACTTTTTCACTTCCATAGAAGTCATTTACAGCTAATCATCAGCGTTTCTTAATTAGTAAAGAAGCGACTTTATCAGGGAACCACATGAATATTTTTGTAACTGCAAATAATAGAAATATTTAATTGTGCAGTCAAAATTCGCATAAAGTTTGCTATGCATTCATCAGGTGTTTCTTGAGTAGTTTCCGGCTTACCTGTCACAATACATTTTATATTAAAATATTGCTTATAAGAAACGTCAGGCCCAGGATCATCCACTTTTTAAAATTCGCATATTTACATCATATTTTTACTTGTTTCGCAATTTTCACAACAGAGAATCGCAATTCTGAAATTTCTTTTCAAAATTCATGTTGTCTATTCGAGAGCGAGCGATTTTCTCCTGAAACTATACCAGATTTAAAAATATATGAATGGTGCAAGAATATGTTCAGGTTCAAAAAGAAATTTCGTAAAATAATGGAGGCTGGACAAAATTTATAGTGTTCTAATAAAAAAGAGTATAGTCGTTGCCTCTCTATGCAAAAGTACTTCTTGATTGACATTGTACTTTTACGCAAATCAATTTTCTTTCATGCTCTTTTTGTCTTTTGGCCACTGGCGGTTTTAGGGATTGCGGGGCCCAGGGCCAAAAACATCTACGGGGCCCTTGTTCTTTACAATTTCCATCTTTTTTCGTAGGTGTGGTGCCCCTTTTGGCTATCATAAGCGCAGGGCCTATCATAAGCCACGGCCCCCCTGGACCCCCCTTAAAACCGCCACTGTCATCGTGGTGACTGAAATGACATGCAAAATCTAGAAAATGTTTACTTTGAAGCCCAAACCTATGGCAGCAAAAGATGGCCTCGGTGACTGCAATTTTACTGTAAAATGTGTACTTTCAATACAACCCGTACAAAACCATAGCCAATGTTTTAGTCGGGCACTGAAAAGGTGGGCGGGCCACAGGGGCGAAGCCGAAAAATTCTTAACTACAGCATAATATAATACAATATGCATAACTCTTCAAGATACTATTTAAGTATTTCTAAGTTTTAAGTATTTTTATTCCTTCACCAAGAAAGGCTAGTCTTCCTTCAATACTAATACAAACAAATATCAATAACTATAAGAAACAACGTATTTCAAAGTTTTAATTCATTGACATATTTGGTCAAGGATGAAATACCACCGATCCTCGAATTTGCCCCCTGGGGCTTATTTTTTGTATTGGTAGTTGGGGGTTGTTCGAGGGGGCCTATACAAGGGGAGCTTATAAAATTATAGTAGACATTTAATTAATCATCACCAAAAGTATGAATTTTTGTGGTAATTCAATAAAACGCCAAAGGCAACATCAGATGGCAAAAATCAACAAATCGAGGGGGGCCAATTCAAGGATTTACAGTAACAGTGGGGGCTTATTCGAGGAGGGCTTATTGACAATTTGTTGTTCTAGGGTGGAGCGTTATTCGAAGGGGAAGGGGCTTTTTCGAGGGGGGTGCAATTCGAGGAGTTACGGTATTCTACTGTATCTGGTAAATTGTATCTTAGTTGGAAGTCAATCTTTCCAAATGTACGTGGCCTTAAGTCCGTTGGCGTTATTGAAACTATTGAAAACTATTATGAGTAAAAATAAAGAGGCCATAGTTGTTTAATTTTTCGGCGAGGAGATTATCATTCATTAATATAATCAGGGGCGTTGTAGCTCTTAGAAAAGGGCATGGAGAAATGATCATGAGGGGGCTCACTCATTTGTATGACATCTCCAATCACAAACCATAGGTCGCAAAAAGTGGTACATACCTGCAAACCTTGCACCTACGAAAAATTAAAAACATGCCAGTTTTTATCATCTTAAAGGTTCATTGGCTATATTTGTTTGGGTGTATCCCTTTTTCACTAAATCTTATGGGTGGCAGTTTCGTGCACTGCGAGCGAAGCGAACAGAAACCTTTTGCGACCACGCCCTTTAAATTAGCATGAAATACATTTCAGAATGTTTTTTGCAGTCGTTTACCAATTTTGACATATTTTAGGCATACTTTGTTGCGTTTCGTTAAAAATCTGTTCTTGAATTGGAATTCCTTGCTTTAAAGGGGCCCCCTAGTGAGGTATTGGGGCAGTTTGTCCCTCCTTGTCCCCCTCTCTGCAGCCCTGTTCATATTCTATGCATCTCTTCCACGGAGGCCTGTTTTTCCTGGGTTTTACAAACTCACTAGAAAGGGGCCCACCGGGAAAATCTCGGTGTCCCACTTACCCACAATGCCCCTGAATTTAATCGAGAACAAGTTTCTCGAAAAAACGATTTTTTATAAATGAAAACGGAAGAAAGTAAGTGAATTGGATAGGAACGCGAGGTGCATACCCAGTGTTGTTCCCAAAAGCTCCATTCTAAGGTCATTACTCTTATTCTTGAAAATTCCTTGGAAAAATTCTCGTTTTTTACACGGTGAATAAATTTAATTTACATGATACATAATCTGCATTGCAAACTGCATTTACATGATACATTTACATATATCTATGCTCGCTGCTTCGCATTGGTTTATTGTTTTTGAATTTTGTTTCTAGAAAGTTTATTTGCTGATGAAAATTCACACTACAAAGTCAGAATTGATATAATTTTACTGATTTATTTTCTTTATTTTGGTTGATTGCCGCCCTCAGAGCTTTTATCCAAATGTGTAAACTCCTCCTTTCTATTTAGCATTTTAACATAAACTGGAGTTTTAATTACAATTTAACTTTATTTTTTTAAAGAATGTAATTAATGTGATATATTTTAGTGAGTAAGCCTCTGATGACACTAAGGGGACTTCCTTTCTTCAGGACAAGTGACACGCTTTTGGCGCCAAATTTGTTCTTCTTTTAACTTTAAGTGAAATGATGTATGAGAGTTTTGTTGGAATATTTTACCTTTCTGATTTCCTTTTCCTACTTAAAAACCCTTTTCAAATTATGGCAGGAAATGAATCACGTGACACCGTGACGTAGATTGTGATAATTTGTTATTGCTGCTACTGGTACATATCGTTTACAACACGCTTTTAAACGAATTCAGAGTTAGTAATCAGGTCGTTCTTTTGCAAACTGTTTTCGACATTAAGTAATTCTTGCAAATAAGTATAAATAGTAATAAAATCCGTCATTGTATTGCTTACGGGTGCGCACCAAAAGTAAGAGCTGCAGCCATCGCCGATGGGAAGAACATTTCATTTCATAAATTTCCAGAGGACAAAGCAGTTAGGAAGGTCTGGCTTGTCAAAATAAAACGCGAAAACTTTGTACCAAGTCGACACTCCAGAGTCTGCTCCCTTCATTTTATGAATCGTTTTGGAGATCGCCTGTTGTGAACAACTCTTTGGAAGTGACGATGAAAGCACAACTTTTGCCAGATGCTGTCCCCACGTTATTTGTATATAACAAAGTTGAAAGGCGTACATATGGTGCCCGCAAAAAGAGAATACATTCATAAGTAGGTCTTATTTTTTATCATTTTCTAGTGCCACCATTTTCTAGGTCGTCCTCGGAGCTTGACGTTTCCATGATTGTTTTCGGGTAATTGTTTTGTATTAGAGTTTCAAATTGGTATGGAACGATTTCCAAAGAATTATTCTCTGCATAATCGAAATCCGTTTGAGAATCTGCCATGTTTTTTCTGAGTTATCCGATCTTTTGTCCACGTATTCCTCAAAATGCTACTTGTTATCAATGACAGGAAAATTCCGAGTTATCACAATGTACGTCATAGGGTCACGTGATAAAAAGCAAAATCGCGCCCCATGCGCCCCCTGATTGGAATTTTTTGTTCTAAACCAGGAAAAACTTACTTCCAAATGATGATCTATAAGTTAATGAAAAGAAAAGATAGGGTGAAAAGTGTGTCACTTGTCCTTTAAACTTACCCGTTAGAACGAATTTATCTAGCCTAGAATCTTAGTGGCCTTTAGATAAGAAAGACATGGTCAGCAATAGTTGACATCGAAATGAGCCCAGTTTCACACTGGGCAGGACAGTTGTTTTTTATGATTATGAAACTTCATAATGAGTGCACTGTTTTGTTTTCTGTTTGTTTTTAACCTGGGAAAACGTATTTTTGTTTTGACTTTATTGAACTTTGCACCCTTTGTTTTGAAACTGGATCCGCGAATATGACATGGGGAATCCCCCTGCACGTTGATTGGTCGCATCTGATGGTTGGTGAGTCATGAGTCATAGTCATAGTACTTGTTGATTGGCAGACAGTCTTTACGATCAAACCGAATGTGATGAGCTTGAATTCTTCTTTGGAATTACATCGCGAAGGCCGTTATCTTTCCAGTTAACCTACAGTGTACCTGTGATGACAATTTGTTAAGGTATTTATGACGCCTGTCATTTTTGTTGAGAATGGTTGGGCGAAGGATAGATCAGATTCTAGCAGAGAAAGCCAACGCAAGAAATGGGAACTTTTACCTTCTCCCGATCGTTGTCCCAGTTGTGTCAAGCTTCAAAAGAATTTACAAGACACGACTGTCAAAGAATGGAATCTTTAAAGGGTAGGTTACTCTTACAGTTTTAATGGTTTGTTAAATATATGTTTCTTCTCTTGCTGGTGGTTTGTGACTTCTTGATTCGTTTATATTACTGTATAGAAAAGGGCCTAATCCTGCTGTCTTTTCTCTACGCCCACTTTTCTTGAAGATTATATCGAAATGATTATATTATGTCAAGATTATAGTTTACTTGGTTGATAAGATAAAAAAGATACCTAAATTTGGTAATCCTTCATGACTCGCTATCTTGAAATAATTTTCATCTGGTACCGTTTGAAATAAGTTACCTATCCTCTGGACTCGTGATTTTATTGGCACTGGTTTCCGCGCCAGTTTCCTGCTTTACTGCCTCGCCCCCCATCGATCACGTAGTTTGGAGTTCTAATGCCAAAACAAGTTTTTTACTAAAGTATTTTCTTTACAAAGAATACACACACAGTTTTCGTTTTCATTAGTTCCTGTTAACAAGGAAGTTATTTAGTTACAATTATTTATAGAATTGGTCCAACTTACCACTTTTTTCACACAAAAATTTTTTTTCTCACAGGCACAACCTAAATTTCAAACATAACAGTTTTCTAAATTTGGAATTCCATTTTATAAAATGCAAGACAACAGAAATAAAATCACTATTAAGTGCAACATATGAAACAAAATGTGGAGAATTCACAATGAAAACAACATTAGGATAATAGAATAAGAAGATAAGGTTTTAGAGCCTTGTGGTCATTGTAGATGTATTATAAATGTATGTTGTTTTGTATTAATGAAAACCTTGTTGAATAAGCTTTTTTATAGCCTAGCTGGAAAACTTGAATTATTGATTCCATGGCTATATTGAGGGCCCTGAGGCTGAATCATAAATTGATTCCCCTAGAAGATTGATAGGAAATAACCTTTCTACTCTAAATTTTATATTAATGTATAATGTCTTTTTATTAAAACATGTCACATTTATTTCACACTTATTAAAACATGTCACATTTATTTCTTGAAGAAAAGAAATGTTGTGTCTATAATTTGGATGCTTATCTGCATTAAGTTAATTTTAAACAACTAAATTTGACATTTTTGGTCTTAATTTTTGTTATTTAGGGGGTATATATTTGTTTTTTGAAACAAAACATTTTCTGTTACAGGAAGCCACTGCATACTATTGAGGAGTCATCAGAAAATTCTCAAAATGAGTTGGTGCTTCAAGCAGCTAATGCATTTATAAATGATGAATCAAGTACTGAATGGAATAATTTGCAGAACAAATCTAATCTCGGGGAAGCTGATGCAAGTCTTTCCGGGATAAAGTATCTCTTTGATGTTCCTGGGTATAAAAATTTACGCACTACTCCTGAAACTTCTATATGCCAAGCTGAACATGAGTATCATGGTTGTCTTGATTCACCAGGTAGTGAACGATCCCTCGCACTGAACAGTCCCAGTGTAAGTTTAATGCAGCAGTTTGAGTTTGCAGCAAAATCTGAGGCAGCTATTGTCATACAACAGTGGTATAGGCAAGTTAGAGAGCGAAGGAGATTTCTTAACATGAAACAATCTGCTATCATTATTCAGAGATTTATTAGGAAAAGATTAAAGTGACAATGAATCAAACATTGGGTACAGTTTCACATTAGGGCTGCCAAAGAGCATCACAATTTGTTTATGAAAACAGATTCCATCTTCTGGATGTTTGCAAGTTAAAATTTCTTGTATGGAAGGATGCTGATCTCTACAAAAAGCAGACATCTTTTTTGTTGGTTATTTGCTGGTTAAAATTTTGCAGAGGGTTCTTCTCAGTCATTAGAGGCTTCTCTGCATCATTAACAGGCATTGCAGAATCCTGCTGTTATTGGCTTTACATTTCAT